GTTAACTCTTTTATAGGTTGTTAGATAAGGGTCCAACTTTATTCCTTTGCATGTGGATATCCGGTTTTCTCAGCACCATTTGTTGAAAAGACTGCCCTCTCCCCATTGAATGGTCTTGGAATTATTGTCAAAAATTATTTAACCAGCCCTGGCCGGTTTTCTCAGTGGTTAGAGCGTTGGCCTGCGATCTGGAGAGACCGGGTTCGGTTTCCGCTAAGGGCGTGTACCTTGGTTGCAGTTTGTCCCTGGCCCTGGTTGGGTTGTGTGGGTGGCAGCCACTCGATGTGTCCCTTTCACGTAAATGTTTTTCTCTCTCCCTCCCTCTCTCTCCCTCCCATTCTATCTGAACAAAAAATGGAAAAATGTCCTCAGGTGAGGATAAAAAAAAGTTATTTAACCATATATACAAAAGTTGATTGTTAATCCCCCTATTCTGTTCCATTAGTTTAGATGTTCCTTTGTGTCATTATCACACTGCTTTGGGTTACTTTAGCTTTGTAGTAAGTTTTTAAATCAGGAAGTGCACATCTTCCAACTTTGTTCTTTTTCAAGATTGTTTTGGCTATTTGAGGTCTCTTGATATTTCATATGAGTTTTATGATGGGTTTTTCTTCTTTTTTGTTTTTTAATCCTCACTCAAGGATATTTTTTCCATTTATCTTCTGATAGAGTGGAGGGGAGGGAGGGAGAGAGAGAATCATCGATGTGAGAGAGACACACCAACTGGTCACCTCATGCACGACCCTGACCAGGGCCAGGGACGAACTGAAACTGAGGTACTTGCCCTTGGCCGGAATCGAACTAGTGACCAATTTGGTCTGAGGGCCAATGTTCTAACCCTGAGAAAACCGACCAGGGCTATGATGGGTTTTTCTATTTCTGCAAAAAACATCATTGGGATTTTAATCTGGATTGTATTGAATTAGGGTAATATTGATGTCTTAACAATAATCAGTTACTGTCTTCCAATTCATAAACAGAAGATGTCTTTCCCGGAATAAATAAATAACATCTTTTATTTATTTCAGTTTTTCACTTCAGTAACGTTTTGTAGTTTTCACTGTCTTTTTTTAATGTTTTTATTGATTTTAGAGAGAGAAGAAGGGAGAGAGAGAGAAAAACATCAATGTGAAAGAAATATTGATCAATTGCCTCCGACACACACCATGACTGGGGATCAAAACCACAACCTAGGTATGTGCCTTGACCTGGAATTGAACCTGCAACCTTTTTGGGGTACTGGACGAGGCTCCAGGCAGTTTTCATTGTCTTAAGTCTTTCACTTTTTTAGTCAAATTAATTCCTAAATTTTAAAATTCTCTTTGATGCTACAGTAAATGGAATTGTTTTCTTAATTTCCTGTTCAGATTTTTAATTGTTGGTATATACAATGCAACTGAATTTTTTTTAAGTGATGAGGGCTTTTTTTAAAAATATGTTTTTCTTGAAGGAGGAAGAAAGAGGGAGAGAGAGATAGGAACATTGATCAGCTGCCTCCTGCACGCCCCCTACTAGGGATGGGGACTGAAACCCAGTCATGTGCCCTGATTGGGAATCAAACCAGCAACATCCTGGTACATAGGACAAGGATCAACCACTGAGCCACACTGGCCAGGCAATGCAACTGATTTTTGTATTGATTGTTTATCCTGTTGCTTTGGTGAATTCATTTATTAGTTCTAACAGTTTTTTTTTTTAATGGAATCTTTAAGGTTTTCTACTTACAAGATCATCTGAGAACAGAGATGATTTTACTTCTTCTTTTCTAATTTGAATAATTTTTATATATTTATCTTGTTTACTTGGCTAGGAAATTCAGTACTATGCTGACTTAAAGTGGCAAAGGTAGGCACCCTTGCCTTGTTCCTGATTTCAGAGGAAAAGCTTTCAGTCTTTCACTATTGGGTATGAGGTTTGCTGTGGGTTTTTCACATATACTTTCATTATGTTGAGGTAGTTTTCTTTTATTGCTAGTTTGTTGAGTGCTTTTATCATGAAAGTGCTGAATTCTGTCAAATGCTTTTCTGTATCAATTGAGATGATCATGTGGGTTTTTTCCTTCCTCCTTCCATTCTAAATATCCTTGCATTCTAGGAATAAAGCCCACCTGGTCATAATATATAATCCTTTCACTATGCTGTGAATTTGGTTTGCTAGTATTTTGTTGAAAAATTTTGCCCTGATATTCATAAGAGATACAGGTTTAATTTTTCTATTTTTTTGTAATGTCTTTGTCTGGCTTTGGTACTAGGACAATGCTGGTCTCATAGAATGTGTGAGGAAATGTTCTCTTTGATATTTTGGAAAAGTTTGAGAATGATTTGTGTTCTCCTTTTTTTATTTTTAAATATTTTTTATTGATTTGGGGGGAGAGAGGAAGGGAGAAGAGAGGGAGAGAGAACGAGAAGCATCTTTGTGTTTTTGTTTTTATCCTCACCTGAGGACACTTTTGCATTCATCTTTAGATAGAGCGAGAGGGAGAGAGGGAGGAAGAGAGAGAAACATCAATGTGAGAGAGACACATCAACTGGCAGCCACCCACACGACCCCAACCAGAGCCAGGGACAAACTACAACTGAGGTACATGCCTTTGGCCGGAACTGAACCTGGGTCTCTCTGGACCGTGGGCCAACGCTCTAGAATTCACTAGTGAAGCCATAAGGTCCAGGGCTTTTCTTTGTTGGGAGATTTTTGATTACTGAATCAGTTCCTTTACTAATAATACATCTCTTCAGGCTTTCTATTTCTTCATGATTTCGTGTTGGTAGGTTTCATTTTTCGTGTTGGTAGGTTTCGTTTTTCTAGGAATGTGTCTGTTTTATCTATGTTACCCATTTTGTTGGTGAACAATTGTTCATAGTTCTCTCTCTTTTTTTTTTTAAAATTTTTTTCTTTATTGATTTTTAAAGAGAGAGAAAGGGAGAGGGAAAGAGAGATAGAAACATTGATGAGAGAGAACATCGATTGGCCACATCCTGCATGACTCCCACTGGGGATAGGGCCCATAACCTGGGCATGTGCCCTGACCAGGAATCGAACCAGCGACCTCGTGATGCATGGGCCGACGCTCAATCACTGAGCAACACCAGGTGGGTCATAGTTTTCTCTTATAATGTTTTATTTCTGTAGCATCAGTAGTAATTCCACTTTTATTCCTGACTTTAGTAATTTGAATCTTCACTCTCTTTTTTAGTCAAAGTAGCTACAAATTTGTCAGTTGTGTTGATCATTTTGAAAAGCCACTTTTTCATTTCATTGATTTTCTCTGTTTTGTAATTCTCTATTTTGTTGATCTCTGCTCTAATCTTTACTATTTCCTTCCTCTGATAGCTTTGGGTTTAGTTTATTGTTATTTTTCTAGTTCCTTAAATTGAAAGTTAAGTTGTTGATTTAAGATCTCTCTTTTTTTTTATCCTCACCCAAGGACATTTTTCCATTTTTTGTTCAGATAGAGTGGGAAGAAGAGAGAGAGAGAAAGAGAAACATCAACATGAAAGGGACACATCAAGTGGCTGCCACCTGCACGACCCAACCAGGGCCAGGGACAAACTGCAACAGAGGGACGTGCCCTTAGTGGGAAGCGAACCTCAGGCCTATCTGGACCGCAGGCCGACGCTCTAACCGCTGAGCAAAACCAGCAGGGCAGATCTCTTTTTTTTTTCACCTTTTTTTTGTTTGTGTTTTGTTTTGTTTTGTTTTGCTTTTTGTTTTTATTGATTTTAGAGAGAGGGAAAGAGAGGGAGAGAAATATCGATGTAAGATAGAACCATCAATCAGTTGCTTCCCATATACACCCCAAAGGGACCAAAGCCAAAATCTGGGCATGTGCCCTGACCGGGAATCAAACTGGCAAATTTTCAGTGCATAGACAGTGCTCAGCCAAAGGAACCATACCAGCCAGGGTTAAGATCATTTTTAATGTAAGCATTTATAGCTGTAAAATTTCCATTTACTATTAGTTTCACTGTGTTCCATAGGTTTTGGTACATTATGTTTTTGGTTTTATTGTCTCAAGATATTTTCTAATTTTTCTTTTGATTTCTTCTTTGATTCACAGGTTGTTTAAGATTTTATTAATTTTTATAAATCTGTAAATTTTCTTGTTTTCTGTCTGTAATTGATTTCTAACTTCTTCCCATTATGGTCAGATAAGATACTTTGTATGATACCTATCTTTCAATCTAGTCAGACTTAATTTGTGGTTTAACATATGGTCTTACCTAGAGAATATCCTACGTACACTTGAGAAGAATATGCATTCTGTTGTTGTTGCGTAGTGTTCTGTATTTGTCTGTTAGATTTAGTTGGTTTATTGTGTTATTCAAGCCCTCTATTTCGTTGCTTTTCTTCTGTCTGGTTGTTCTATTCAAAGTGGGATAGTTCAGTCTCTGACTATTGTAGAACTATTTCTCCCTTCAATTCTGGAAATTTTTGCTTTATATATTTTGAGGGTCTGTTATTAGGAGTAACTATAGTATTTCTGAAGCATTGAAAGACAGAAAACAATCTAATATCTACTGATCTTCAAGATATACTTTTAATTGAAAAAAGGAAACCAAAAAGTACATATAGTGTGCTATTTTTTGTCATTTAAAAAATCAAGTAAAATACATACATCTGTATATATTTGCTTGTGCATACAGAGACTATCTCTGGAAATATAAAGAAGAAACCGGGAGGGCCTTGGTTGTGTGGCAGTGGGGGAGCTGGATGCCAGTACATTTATGTGAGCCTCCAAAGTCCCCGTGTAGCCACTGCCCCCTTCTCCCACCCTTCACTTGTTCCTTGCCTGGTCTGAGTACAACAGAGGTGTGAATACTTTTTCTCCTGAAGGAAGATTGTTTCAAGTGGAATATGCTACTGAGGTTATCAAGCTTGGTTCTACAGACATTGGAATTCAGACATCAGAGGGGATGTGCCTAGTTGTGGAAAAGAGAATTACCTCCCCCGTCATGGAGCCAAGCAGCATTGAGAAAATTGTAGAGATTGACACTCATAGGCTGTGCCATGAGTGGGCTAATTGCTGATGCTAAGATTTTAATTGATAAAGCCAGAGTGGAGACACAGAACCATTGGTTCACCTACAATGAGACAATGATGGTGGAGAGCATGACCCAGGCTGTATCCAATCTGGCTCTACGGTTTGGAGAAGAAGATGTAGATCTGGGTGCCATGTCTTGTCCCTTTGGAGTAGCACTGTTATTTGGAGGAGGTGATGAGAAAGAACCTCAACTGTTTCATATGACCCATCTGGGACCTTTTTTTTTTTTTATCCTCACCCGAGGACATTTTTCCATTTTTTGTTCAGGTAGAGTGGGAGGGAGAGAGAGGAACAGAGAGAGAGAGAGAAACATCGATGTGAAAGCACACATCGAGTGGCTGCCACCCGCACAACCGACCAGGGCTGGGGACAAACTACAACCGAGGTACGCGCCCTTAGCGGGAACCGAACCCGGGTCTCTCAGGACCGCAGGCCGACGCTCTAACCGCTGAACCAAACTGGCCAGGGCCATCTGGGACCTTTGTACAGTGTGAGGCTGGAGCGATTGGCTCTGCTTCAGAGGTTGCCCAGAGCTCCTTACAAGAAGTTTACCATGTCTATGACTCTGAAAGAAGCCATCAGGTCTTCACTAAACAAGGAATGGAGGAGAAGCTGAATACAACGATCAGAGCTAGCCATGGTGCAGCCTGGCCAGAATTTCCCCATGTTCACAAAGCAAGAACTTGAAGAGGTTATCAAGGACAGTTAAGGAAATGTGATCCTCAGAGCTTCTCTGGGACAATTTCAGTTCTCCTGATTGCCCTGAACTTTTATTTCCAACTCCTATTCCTTGGGAAATCTCCAGTGTATGCGTATTTTTTAAAATGATGTCTGTACATAAAGGCAATCCTGAAATAAAGAAAAACTTTTAAAGAAGAAGGAGGAGGAGGAGGAGGAGGAGGAGGAGGAGGAGGAGGAGGAGGAGGAGGAGGAGAAGGAGAAGGAGAAGGAGAAGGAGAAGGAGAAGGAGAAGGAGAAGGAGAAGGAGAAGGAGAAGGAGAAGAAGAAGAAGAAGAAGAAGAAGAAGAAGAAGAAGAAGAAGAAGAAGAAGAAGAAGAAGAAGAAACCAGTGAGTGTGTCTCCTAGGAGGGGAACAGGGTGCCTGGAAACTAGGGTCGGAGGAAGAAATTTTTATCTGTGTGCACTCTTTTGTTTGTTTTTTAATTGATTTCAGAGAGAGGAAGGGAGAAGGAGAGTGAGGTAGAAACATCAGAGAGAGATAAACATCTATAGCAGCAGCTCTCAACCTGTGGGTCGCGACCCCTTTGAGGGTCAAACGACCCTTTCACAGGGGTCACCTAAGACCATGGGAAAACACATATTTCCAATGGTCTTAGGAACCAAGACACCACTTCTCTATCGGTCTCCAGGCGGGTCCACCGACATGCAGATACGCCCACATACAACATGAGGAACTGTATTAAAGGGTCTTGGCATTAGGAAGGTTGAAAACCACTGATCTATAGGGCTGCCTCTTTCATGCCCCCTACTGGGGATCAATCCCGAAACCCAGGCATATGCTCTGACCAGAATTGAACTGGCGACCTCTTGGTGCATGGGACAATGCTCAACCAACTGAGCCACACCAGCCAGGCTGTGTGCACTCTTGTACTGTGTGAATTTTGTATATAAAAAAAATAAGTACACTTAAATTTGAAATGCTGTAGACTGGAAACTAGAATTAGAGTAGTATCTGGTTCAAATAAAAGAATCCTAGAAGGTATTCGATGACTGTAAACTCACTAAGTAGTGCAGGCTACTAAAAGAACTTGCTCATATTCCAGAAAGTTCAGTCCAGAGATGATGTAGTAAAAGGGAAAGAGTTTGTTTATACTCTTCTTTCTAAAAGTATTTAAGGTGACTTGCAAACACATGAAATACATAAAACTGCAATATGAATCACAGAAGAAAAAGAAGGGAGGGGCATGAAGTGGAGCCGAATTGGTAGACCAGGTGTTCTTCAAAGCCTGCCGGGCTTTTCTTTTTATAATTACTGGTTTACAAGGTCTGGAGTGCACTCTTCTGTGCTGCAAGTTTTATATACATTTTGTGTGTGAATAGTCTTCATCTACAGTGGGGCTGACTCTCTTTTTAGAACCTAAAGAACCAAAAAGGACCTTTTACCTTAAGGAAGGCCACTCTGCAAGCAGGATTAAGACTATGCCCAGCCTTGGCCGGTGTGGTTCAGTTGGGTGGGTGTCATCCTGTGCACTGAAGGGTTGCCAGTTTGATTCCTGGTCAGGGCACATGCACGGGTTTTGGGCTTGATCTCCATTGGGGGGTGGGGGAAGGGTATGCAGGAGGCAGCCAGTGGATGCTTCTCTCTCTCTCTCTTTCCCCTCCTCTCTCTCTAAAAATCAATTTTAAAAATATTTAAAAATACTAGTCCTGGCCAATTTGGCTCAGCGGTTAGAGTGTCAGCCCATGGACCAGAGAATCCCAGGTTCAGTTCCCGAAGCACCTACTTCGGTTGCAGTTTGTCCCCAGCCCAGGTTGGGGTCATGTGGGTGGCAGCCAGTCAATGTATCTCCTCTCTTACATCAATGTTTCCCTCTCTCTTCCTCCCTCTCTCCTTCCCACTCTATCTGAAGATACATGCAAAAATGTCCTCAGGGGAGGATAAAAAAAAAATATATGTTCCTTAAAATAAAAAAAAATACTATGTTCCTTAAAATAAAAAAAAATACTATTTCCAGATTATTGTTTCGAGCCTGTTGCAACAACAGTGCTCAGGTTTCCTACTTCCCCAAGAAAGAGCAGACCTTTGGAGTCAGACCTGTGTTTGAATTCTGGTTCCATAATTATGAGCTGAACGATGTTGGGAACGCTACTCTCGTAGTCAGTTCTTAGTTATCTGTTCTAACAAAATACCACCAACTGAGTGGCTTAAACAACAGACATTTATTTTCATAGTTTTGTTGAATGAAAGTCCAAGGTCAAGGCACTGGCATATCTGGTGCCCAGTTCTGACCCTTTTCCTGGTTTGCAGATGGCATCTTTTCATTGTATCTTACGTGGCAGAGAAAGAAAGCTCTAGTCTCTTCTCGTAAAGATACTAATCCCACATGAGGGCTCAGCTATCATGACCTCAGGTAAATCTAATTACCTACAAAAGGCCCCACCTCCTAATACCACCCCATTGCGGGGTAGGGTTATGTATTTGGGGGGAACACAAACGTGAATTCCTGGACAGCTACTTAACCTCTCCCAACCAAGTTTTTCTGTCTGTAAAATGGAGACAGTAATACCTCACTCAGAGCTTGTGGTTGCTGAGAATTAAATTAAGCAGCACATGTGGCATGCCTTCTTCAATAAATGTTGGTTCACCTGCACAAGCCAGTTGGTAATAACTCACACACTATATCGGCCAGTTCACGGGCCCTCCTCTGAAGCAGGCTGTGGATTAACCTGAACCAGATTAACCTGGGAAGGGCAGTCGGGATGGCGAGAGGTCTGTAAATCATGTCAGATGTGGAATGGCTGATGGAACTGGGTATGAACAGGCAGATAAACTTAAATCAAATGTTCTCAGGGGGCATGACAAACTTATTTTGTGTTGTCCCAGGGAATCAAATTAAGACCAAAGGCTTAAAGTTACAGGATGCAGATTTCAGTTTCATAAAAGAATTTACTGACAACAATATCAGTACTAATAGTTAACAATTCACATTATGGGCTATTTGCTTTGAGCTATGCGCTATTATTTTGCGTACACCTCCAAACGACCCCATAAGAAAGGGTTGGTGTAGAGAGTTGTTTAATGACTTGGGAAGCACTTCCCAAATGGCGGTAAGTGGAAGTAAGCTTGCTAGTAATGAACTTGTCTATCTGGAATAAAAGCGAGATTCCAGTTCCTACATGTGTTCAAGCAGAGGCTGGCTGAACAGGTGATCAAATAAAATTACAACTGGGAAGGGGCACTGATAATGAACTAAGTCCCTTTATTTTAGACACAAGGAACTGAGTCTAGGGACATGAGAGGATTTGGACGAGGACCACACAGCCAGCGCGCTGAGCGGGCATCATCTAGCTAAGGCCTTGCCTGACGCTGTGAGAACCGTCCCGCGATGCCAGCTGTTGGCAGACACCACTGCAGACCGCGCTGAGTGCTCAGAAGGCAGGGACTCCACAGTTCCAGGCTGCTGCCTGCTTGGCAGAGTGAGAGGCTACACAATGAATTCTCCATTCCTTCCTGCCTGCAGGAGAGCCCCGCTGTACATCTATGTCCACGGAGTCCCCATTCACCCTTCCTTTTTCTGAGCCTGAGGCTGAGCCTGGGGAGAAAGCCACTGGCCATCCAGTACTGTGGTGACAGTTCCTCATGGTTTTCCTCCTCAGAGGAGCTGTCTACTGCATCACTGCTCGCGGAACCCAGGAGAGGGGGCTCTGTGCAGTTGTCACTGTGTCCTACTCTGGGGACACATTAGGATGAGTCACAAACTAATATTAATGATGTTTTTCTTTTTTTTTTTAAATCCTCACCCGAGGACACTTTTCCATTTTTTGTTCAGATAGAGTTGGGGCGGGGGGTGGAACATCAATGTGAAAGGGACACATCGAGTGGCTGCCACCCACACGACCAACCAGGGCCAGAGACAAACTGCAACCAAGGTACATACCCTTAGCAGGAACCGAACCTGGGTCTCTCTGGACCGCAGTCCGATGCTCTAACCGCTGAGCCAAACCAGCCAGGGCTTTTTTTCCTTTCTTGAGAGAGAGAGAGAAACATCGATGTGAGAGAGACACATCACTTGGTTGCCTCCCCCATGACCCAGACCAGGGAAAGGGATTGAACCTGCAACCCAAGTAAGTGCCCTTAAGCAGAAATTGAACCGGAGACCCTTTGGTCTGCAGGCCAGCGCTCCAACTGCTGAGCCAAACCAGCCAGGGTTAATATTAATGAAATTTTGAAAACACTTGCCTGTGCCAGGCACTGTTGTCAAAGTTTCAGGTATACTAACCCCTTTAATAGTCATTACAACCCTCCAGAATAGCACTTACTCATCATCAACATTTACACTCGCAAGTTAGATGAACGTACCGACATCACAAAGCTAGCAAGTGGGGATTCAAACGCGGGCAGTCTGGCCGCAGAGCCCACTCTCACTCACGGGCAAAGGCCACGACAGGGCTCTTTTGGGCAGCAGCACCACCAGGGTGGCAAGATTCATCCTGATGGTCAAACTCAAATGAGCTAACATCTGGGTGTGTTAATTCGCTAGGGCTGCTGTGATAAAAATACCACAAACTGGGTGGTTTCAACAACGGAAATTTATTGTCTCATAGTTCTGAAAGCCAGAGTCCGAAATCAGGTACGGACAGAGTTGGTTCCTTCTGAGGGCTGTGAGGGAGCAGCTGTCCTCTAGTCTCTGGTGGTTTGCTGGCTATCTCTGGCTTTCCTTGACTTGTAGAAGAATCACCTCAATTTCTGCCTTCATCTCCTCATGGTGCTTGTTCTCTCTGTATGAGTCTCTGTGCCCAAATTACCTCTTTTTATAAGGTCACCAGTCATACTGGATTAAGATCCACCCTAATGACCTCATCTCCACTAATTCCATCTGCAATGACCGTTTCCAAACAAGGTCACATTGTGAGGTACCGGGGCTTAGAACTTAAACATATGAACTTGGAGCGAGCGACATAATTCAATCCACAACACTGGGTAAAAACAACTAATCTAGGGAAGA